AAACGTAAAGGAAAGCTTGTGATTCAGACCACAGAATTACTGCATTGCCGACTAACTTTCTTCAGACGGAATCAAACATTTTTGCACCACCTTTCGAACAATGGATAATGGGGTAACTAAATTCTGTTTTAATTCATATTCATTTCAGTCCAACGTACTGCTGATTGAAACAGATTCGTATATTCGTAAAAGAATAGTCTGGCGACGATGGGATAAACAGTGTACAAAAATCTGATCAACTCCTCGCATGCTAGTTAGCAATGTGCGATTTTTCATCAAATGTGAAGATTGCAAATATGTATATATTTGAAAACGCTTATAACTAGTAAAATAAAAATTAATGATTATAAAAGAGCAATCGACAAAATCACCACCAGGAGAAACTTAGTCTTACTGCTCACTCCCTAGAAAATGATAATCGATATGACCAGCTTAATGCCACCGTGATCGATCAGCAATGTGACGGTGAAATTGTTCCTCGAAGATCATTGCAAATGATAGTTATTTGCTGTAGATTGTCCATCACAATTTTCAATGTAGTAGGTGTTCTTCCAAAAAAGTTTTACGGGGATTTAGGCACAGGACTTCGACTACACAAATAGCAATTCATGCAAAATAAATTTTGTCACTTAATTGCTGAAATTGTTTAGTTCAGTTTAAGGGAATAATCAATGCATTACAATTGTTGAATTGGGAATGAGATCCACAACGGCTTTGCATCTCGAGGTGGCGAACCGCAAGCAGGTAGGGAAAAGCCTGGTGTAATTTTCCTCCAATTTTTTGGATGATGAGTTCCGCCTGATGTTGCGATTGTGGCTGTTACTCAAGCAAAACACGCAACAGATGGCTAGTCTGCCTGACATTTCAAAGACATGGGATCAAATTAATTGCATCTTTTGATTTATTTTTGACACGCATGGCCGTCGTTTATAATTGTTTGTTGTAGCTGTCACTTTGGGCGCGGCTCTCTATCTCACTGTTTTCCCTTCGCTTAAAAATAGGCAAATGTCACAAGGACTGCAGTTACTCTGTACCACTGAAGTGCTAGTGCAAATGTAAAATATATTATGATACCACAT